CCTTAGCTTTACACGATCACTCATCCATTGAGATATCGATCTATATCAAATTTCACAATGTCGTACAATATAAAAAAAATCTGACGTTTTTAGATAGATCGATCGAAGTCGTAAGCGAAGTTTTTTCGAGATCATTCGATATTGAGTGCTACTTGGGTAGATTATCCCTTCATTACTTTTATGATGACATACCACACAATAAAATTTCATAATTGCAAGATCTCGATATGAATTTCAATATGTAACTTAAAAGCAGAACAGCTGAATACTAGTTGAATTTTTATTAAATACTGTTCTGCATCATATTACTTCAAACATTAGAGTCCCGCAGTGGACTGATCGTTAAGACACGGTTCCCAGCAGATCACCGAAGTCAAGCATCACTGGCTGCGGTCAGTGTGCGGGTGGGTGACCACTTGGATTAGGCTGCGTAGGGACCGAGGGTGAGCGGTATTGGTCCTCGTTAAACTGTGCTACCGTAAAGTGCTCGACTTCGCGCGCAGGTCGTCGGGCTACCGAAGCGGGGGTGCCATCCCCTCCGCAGAGGATCAAAATTGGGATGGCATGTCTTCGGTTCATCCTCCGGGATGTATCCCAGACCGTCGCCAATAGCCCATTGTGCAGCTCTAGTGCGACGTAAATGAACAAATCAATCAATCAAACATTAGAATATGCAAGAAGTATACATAAACACATAATGTTAAGGCATTTCATTTTTCAAAAAAAGTATTTTGACAACAATTTTTAACAAAAAATTATAAACTAAAACTGGGAGGACAGATTGTAAAGATACTGTTGACGGTTCCCGTTAGACCATCGAAGTCAAGCATCACTGACTGTGGTCATTAAGCGGGTGGGTGACCACTTTGATCAGCCTGCGTAGGGACCGAGGGTGTGAGGTGTCGGTCCTCGTGGAGCTGTTTTACCGTAAAGTGCTCGAATTCGATCGCAGGTTGTCGGGCTATCAAAGCAGGGGAGCCATCCTCTCTGTAAAGGAACAAAATTGCAATGGCATGTCTTCAGATCATCCTCAGGGATGTTTGCCAAACCGTCGATAATAGCCCATTGCGCAGCTCTAGTGTGACTTAAATAAATGTACCTACCTACCTTTGGACGGTGAACAGAGCCGTGGCAACCACATATAGCGAGAATGCTCTTTGAAAGTTAAATGCACGCACCTGCGACTCAAATTGACCGATCCGGATGCAGTGAAAATGATCCAGTTGCACACGAGTGAAAATGATACCTAAGTGATCCAAAATTTAAAATTTGCAGAAATTTATCGTTGAAATGAAATATAAGAGATCAGAAATGCAAATTATTAGTAAATAAGAATTCACAATGTAGAAATTTTATCACGTGATTTTTTAAAAGCATTTCTTTATCAACGAATGGCAACTCTTCACGGATTCTGAAATGTTAATATCTGCTAGGAAATTTCGTAATAATTCAGTTAGAGAAATGGACATGGATGTGTTGCGACCATAAAAAGCTAGTGAATTCATGTGTAATTCCTAAATCTGGTGTAATATAAAGTTCACACCGGCAATGAAATTTATATTACTTAGCAGTCTATATCCCAAGATTTAAGTTAATGTTATGATTTTTCCTCGAAGCATTTGGTGATAGTTCTTTGTTATCCTCAGCTAACTCGTTGTTAGAAGTGTAAAAAATGGATACGCAGTGTAGATGTACAAGTTTTATATTAATTACGGCGGAATTGGATGGACCATTTGAACTTTTATGTCAAATATTTTAGAACAAATGGTAATATTTCTTGTTGTGTTATTTTTTCTTGATGCAATAAAGTATTAAAGTACATTTTGTGTTAAAATTTTACTGTTGTTCACACAATTATCACGATGCGCAGTACGACTTTCGTTTAACCTTGGAGGACTTAGTGATCCTACAATTGACATGATTTCTTACCATTCTGTTAGAAGTTAATGGCGTCGCATTTAATTTGCGTTATAGAGTTGTCTTGGCAGACTTATTCATCTTGAATTTTTTTCTTCTAAAATATGTTTTATTCATCTTTAATTTTTTTTCTTAAATATGTTTAAGCAAATAAGTAAAAACCTTTGCTATAGCTTGTACAATGACGTCTTCGATAGGCGTATGGCGGTTGCATTGAAAAATCGATATCGAAGTTCAAAATAAGATATTTTTAATTGCATGAAGTATGTTTTTTTTTCAACCGTTTTTTTTAAATTTTTGGTAGCCCCCCGCGGATTGGAAATTGGAATAATTTTATTGTCTTAACTGTGTAATTGAATTGAGAGATGGTAGTATGCTGAATTTCTATTAATGAGATCTGGATGCAGTGTTTGCTCCTGCTGTTTGGTATTCTTTTCCCATTTCGATTTATGCCATTTTCGTTATTCTAGTTGGGCTTAAAATTGTTTCTGGAAGTGACTGAACTCTTTATTTATTGGTCTTTAAATTATTTCCCCTCTGTCAGGTTTAGTTCCATTACTCATAGATGATTTACAACTATAAACATCTAGTGAATTTGAAAATAAGATCGATTTCAACCTTTATGTAATTTAAGTGTGCAAATATTGTGGAAAGTTAAATGAGAGTAGTGGAAATAGCAAATCAATGTATAATTTAATGCACCTTTTGCTGAATTGAACTACATAGCTGCCAACTATTGTATTTTCCTGTAGACTACTAGATTTTGTCAGTCTCTGGTTTAATAAAAATGCTGGTTTTTGAACTTTTCAGAAAATTCCCTGAAATTGAGGAAGTTTCCTAAAAAAATCCTTTTTGAAATGAAATTTTTGAACAGATTATTGCTTGAATATTTAAATAAGTGTTACTAATACATAATGAAGCAAGCCTCATTTATAAAAGTCAGTTAACTATCTTTGATGTATTGAAGAAGCTATTCAAAATTGGGAGTAAGCATAATATGCAAGTTCATTTAATATTAATCATAACTGGAAAATATTGCAGTTTTTCTATATTAATGACTATAAATATCCCTAAAATTTCCCATGTGTAAAATATTTTGTACATTTTGCAACAATTATCTTGAAATTTATATTGGTTAGTAAAATCTGGATATTTTCCTACCCATGTTGGCAGCTATTGTAATATATTTAAGTGTATGTCATTTAGGATTAAATTTTGCACTTTAGAACTTTTTAATCTATTTTGAAATGTCTGCTTATATGTTTGCAATTACAGGGAAATCTACCTTTTAATAGAAGAATAGTTAAAAATGTATATGTTATGTTTTGAGCTCAATCTTAGTCATAGTTGTTAACTCAAAAAAAAAAAAAAAAAATGTTTATTTTCTCTTTTTATGATTTGCCCATGACTCTAAAAATGAGCAGTTTGTTAGAAATGTTCTTAATGATTTAATATGTGAAGTATGTTTTACTTTTTTTCCTTGATTATGAGATGTTTTGTTATAAATAGTTGAAAGTTTGTTCCAGATTTTAGTCGAAATACAGGCGAGTTTGTTCTAGATGCAATTATTACATATAATGTGTTGACTTAAAATAACCACTATCATGTATTAAATCCTGATATCATAATCATAAACTAATCCTTTTTATAAATAACCATTTTTCTGTAAAGAAACTGAAAACCTTGAACTTTTTTTCATAATTTTTATGTCTTCATGAATGTTTAAAGAGTGTAAATATGTTCCTGCTACCTGCAATGAAAAAGTTTCTCTAAATGCAGTTCATATTTGGACATGAAGCTCTCTTGCACTACTCATATTTTTATTTCAATGATGTGGTCAGTTTCTGACACCAAAAGCTTAAATGCTAATCTTATGTTAAAGTGAAATTTTTGTATTTTTCTATGCTTTTGTGTAAATGTTTGTTTTTTATTGACTGCTAAAAAAAATTGCTATATTTTAGTGCCTTTTTAATGCATGTTGTCTTTAATGTATTATTAAAATTGTATCAAACTTGGACTTTTGAAATTTATTTGTATTATTGTAAAGTCTGTTAAAATGCAGTTTTAAATTACAGTGTAAATATTAACCATTTGCTATCATATTACTTTGAAACTGAGTGGAAATTTGTGGCCAAAAGCAGACATACACCTTACAACCAAATAAGGTTAATATGTTAATTGTGAAAACAAAACAATGCACTTGATTTTCATGAAAATTTGGTTATAGCTAATGAAATAAGTAAAATTTTATCGAGGACAAAAAGGTGAATGAAAACCTAGTTCTTAAAATCATCTCTAGGTGGAGTATTACATCCTAATAGAGAACATATGCAAATAACAAGTAATATTATAACAAATGTGACTTGTCTTCTGTTTCTAAAACTTACTTGCTTAAAACTTGCTTACTTGGAATTATGGTAAACCAAGTTACCTGGAAGAAAAAGGAAGCATACAGCAGCTTCCAAATATGACAAGGTAGAACTCTTAACATTCTTGTATAGATTCAGTTGCAAAAAAAGTAAAATACATTGAGATTCATATTGGTATTGTGAAAATTCTTGAAACATAACTAAAACTTTGAAAAAAATTGTTTTATAAAGAAAAAAAGATATTTAACTTTCTGTAAGCTGACTATACAAACATAAGTGATAATGTGGAATTTTGCAAGATTTGTTTAAGAATTCTTAGATATCATATAAAGAAAATATTTAGGAAAGAATGTGTAAAGCTTCCAACATGCACATTATCTGGTAGACACAAATCATAAACTTTCGAACACCCATGTTGAAGAATGGATAGCTGGCAAACATCTCAAATGTAGTATATGAATTATTTATCATGTAAAATTAAAAATGAAAAGTTGCACCCAAAATCAATGTTTTTATCAAGGTACCAGTAAAAATTTCAGTTGTACCTTGTACAATTTGGGAGAATCATAGAAATATGTTTCTCCATATCCATCCTTACCAAATCTTTTAGTAATTTTTTGGTTGAATTGAATAGTTCAGCTAGTTAGACAGCAGTTGGAGCCTTTTTTACCTATGGCTTGATATAGGCAAAGGTACTGTATAAATAGGCAGTGAAAAGACTAAAAAACTAGTTAAGATAAGCAGGTTTTTTAACTTAAGACAAGAATGTGCAACTGATAAAAGATGTCACAAATAAGGATGAGGGCAAAATGCCCATTAAGTTGTGTTTAGTTCCTTCAAAAAGGTAATAAAATATAGCAGTCTTTTTATAACTTGTGCCTTATTCAACTAATTAATATTCTTATTATAATTTTATTGAAAAACATTTGTGCAGTATTCTAGTTTATTATGTTAGTTATCCTCATTATAGTATATTCAAAGTATTGAATTTAATTACTGTGTATAAATTCAGAGTTTTTTAATGAATTCTATTAATTTTCTAAAACAAAATTTGTAAAAGAAATGCACACATTTAAAATCAATTTTTTTTCTTTCTTTTCGGAAGAAGGGTTGTATAAATTAAATAACCACCCTGTCTGAAATGTTAAAAATGGTGAAATATACCCAGAAAAATGTGCATTCTTTTGGTTTTTAATTTATGAGTAATTTATAATAACTTTATTAAGTTAAATATAGACCATTAGTATTTTAAATATTGGAAGAAAGACTTTTTAACCTACATTTGTATCCGTTAATGTAAAATTTATTATTTGAAAATGGTCCAAAAATCCTTTTATAAAAATTCAAAGCTTATTTAAAAGGAAAAAAATTTAAAAGTATCTGTGTCTGAATTTCAGATTCTTAAAAAATTGCTGACTGTATTTTTTTTTAGTTATAAATTTTTTGAAATTAAGTGATAGGATAACTAGCAATGCTTCTTGAGGCTTTTGGCAAGGCTTGCATTTTAACTTGGGCATTTTTTGTGTGGCTATTTTTTGTTTTGAGTTTTGGGACCACCCACAAAAAGAAAGGGAGAAAAAATAACACTCAAAAATACCTAATAAAACATGGGCTCTAATGGTTTTTTTATAAACATGATCAAAATCTGCCCTTATATCAATTGTTATTTTTTTATTTGACATAAAAATATATCCCTACTGCATTTAGATAAATATGTATGTAATTGTGAATTAATGTAATGATTTTTCTTGCTTCAACATTAAGAAAAATCACTTAAAAAACAATAAAGCTTTCTTAATGTTATTTGTTTTCATCTAAAGTTGCCAGAGTACTGGCTAGAATAACCTTTTCTTTTATCTCCTTCATAAAAAAAAAAGTTTTCAAATATGAATAAAATAAGCCAGCTTTATCCCTAAGCATTTTTAGAAGGCTGGCCTGCTCTAACTTCTCTGATCCTTATCAATATGCCCTATTTGTAAAAATAAGCTGTCATCACTGCCTTTTTATTTTTTTTATTTATTTATTTTTTTCCCCAATAGCAGGCACTGAATTTGAATCTTTGCCTATTTTATGCCAGAATTGTTGATCATTTCGCGTTACCCAGTGGGCGCCTGTGAACCAAAGTGACGGAGGCGAGCAACATTGCCCACGCCACACTGCCACAAACCCGTTTATAGGGTGGGCCACATTCACACATCATACATACAACAGACAGGGTGCGTAGCGTTTGTAAAAAGTACTTAAAGGTGCTTTTTGGAGGATTTCATTTTTAAAAGCTTTTAAAGGTGCTTTTTTAAGCTGGCGTTTTTAAAAAGTGCTTTTTTCACGAATAATTTTTTTTTCCTTCAGTGATATCTGGCGGATCCCCTGCATTTCACGAAAAAATGGGGTGTTTGCTACGTAATCATTCACACGGACTTCATGTCGTACCCACGTTATGACTTGCGCATGCGCGCACACTCGAAACTGAAACCCGGGTGCTCCAATTCGGATAGTCAGATCCTTATTAAATGTTTTTCTTTTTAATTTATTTTAATTTTATTCTTGTTTATTTTATTTTACCTTTAACACTTTTTTGATGTAGGGGGTAAGGGTACTTTTGTTCAGAGTCAAGTTGAATTCACTCGGTGATGTGGGAAAGTACTGATTGTTTCGATTTACGTCCGTTTCTTTTTGGGTTTTTTTTCTAGGCTAAAACTGTTCATAAAAAGTTTTTGTTTTTCAATAATATCATTGATTCGATATGAATTTTTTGAGTGCTTGAAAATTTTTGTAAAGTGCTTGAAAAGTTTTTAAAAAGTGCTTATTTTTGATTCAAAGATTTGGCTACGCACCCTGACAGAGGACAGCACAAAGAGAGAGAGAAACATCCATGCCCAGAGCGGGATTCGAACCCACAGCCTATGGCTTCACAGTCAGGCGCGCTAACCGCTCGGCCACCTGGCTGGCACCTTTTTATTTTATTTTTTCATGAAAGGTTGTTTATTTAACTACCTGTTTTAATGAAAAGTCCATTTTAGATTTATTTTGTTATCGATTAACTTTTAAAATTTAATTTGTAATTTTATTCCTTCATTTTAGTAAGATTTTTCTTATGTTGGCTTGTTATATAGTTAAAATTAACATGATATTCTGCCTCAATGATATTCACAACTTTTGTTTGGGTAGGGATTTTAAGTTTTACCTTAATTTTTTAAATAAATACCTGTTAGTTTAAAACATTACATTTGCAACATTACATTGATTTTACATTTTGTATCCATATCATTATCACTGCATTTTCTATAATCAGAGCTTTTATATTTATTTTTAATTTGCTTTAATCATTAATTATTTTTGCAGAGCAAAATTTATCAGAATGGAAATGACAATAAAAATTTATTTGACTGTAAAAAATTATTTCTTGAGAAATTATCTATCGGGAGTTTCCTAGCCTAATGATTCACAGTTTAAAACAGCGGCCAAGAAAGGTTAAATGGAAGAAGTAGCCAAGTTTTTTTTAAAAAAATACTTTTTTCAATAGCAAAGGTTTGAATAAATAATGATAAAAATTTTCATTTCTATGAAATTTCATTACCATTTCTCGTAAAGTTTTCAATTTGAAATAAAGTAACCAAATTCAGGAATGAAGAACTTTTCCTTTGATTCTATATTCTTTTATAACCGAAATAATACTTGTTTTTATTAATTTTCAGCTTATTCATGCGCCAAAAACAAATTCAGATGCCTCTCCAGACATGGGGATTTAATTGGACGGGTCACAGGGGTTCCGAGAATGAGGAATTTTTTTTAACCAGATATGACTTGTAATTAAATTTATATAGATTTAATAATCCATTGTGAAATATTTCTCTTATTCTTTATGAAACCATTTAATTAAAAAAAAAGAAAGCGTGTGAAGAAAGGAATTTCAAATCAATTTTTTTTCTATAATAGTTTAATATCTGAATTATGAAACTGGTACAGGGGTGCAAACTTTCCATTCTTAGTCAAAAAATTTCTTCTAGTGGTGGGAAAGTATTTGTTTTAATGAATGATTTTTCATTTAGTGAATTTGTTTTTAAGTTACTTTTCCCACCACTACATGTGAATGATTAAAAAATTTATGTAGAAGGCTTTATTTGTTCCAATTTTCTTGTGATGGGGCTTTTAAAAAAAAAAGAAATATATAATGAACATTAAATACCTTACATTTGAAAGCATTAACTTTAACTGTCTTGTTACTCTATAAAATATTTTACCAAAAGCGTAGTATTTAGCAACCTTGTGGCATGCATTTATGAAAAATTTCATTGGTATTTCGCGTCAAATGAAAACAACGAAATTAAGAAAGGACGAAATATGTTTTTCTGATAACAATCTTCAACGGTTATATTCTTCCTTTTTTTAATTTTTTTAAATGGAATTGAAAACTGTATTTATCCATTTTCAGGTTAAAGCACACTTTAAAATCATTTTAAGAACATGACTAGACGCTGCTCAAAGCCTAGGAATTCAACTGATATAAAACATGATTTTAAGCGAGTAGTACTGACAGAATAATAGGAGGAAATATTTCCTTCTTCATTCGCTAAGCATTTTCAAAATAATTGATAAAATTTAGATCTTTTACATATTTTTAAAATAATTCATAGCCTTTAGTTAATTAATATGTTCATCACCAACATTGGCACGACAGCCCTTTGTGAGCCTGGGCCTTCCTCAGAAGCTTTTGCCATTCTGCCCTTCTCCCCGCAGTTGATTTCCAGTTTTTTGCTTTTAGGATGGCAAAATCCTCATCCACACAGTCTTTCCATCTCTTTTTGGGCCTTCCTCTTTGCCTTTAATTGTTGCATTAAAGACTTTTAATGCTGTTCGTTCTGGGCTCATTCTCACTATATGCCCGGCCCATCTCATTCTACTTAGTTTAATAGATTTAATGATATTATCACCATTAAAGATCTTATATATTTCAAAATTATGTCTTTATCTCCAATTGTTGTTATCGAGGATAGCACCAAAGATGGTTCGCAGGATCTTCCTTTCGAAGGTTGCTAATAACTTCTCTTCCCTTTTTGTTGAAGTCCATGTCTCTGAAGCATAAGTCAGAACTGACTTGATTAATACCTTATAAAGTAAAATCTTCATCTTTCTTTTTATCAAGTGAGATTTCAATAATGATCTTAAACCATAGAAGCAGCGATTGGCTGTGATTATTCCTTTTCTGATTTCAGGATTAATGTCATTTTGATAGTTTATTTCTGATCCTAGATAAGTAAAATTTTTTACAGATTCAAATTTAAAAAATTCTATTTCAAACAATTTAGGGATGGTTTCCTTTGTACCACAATACATATATTTTGTTTTCTCCACATTCACTCTTGGGTTCATTTTTCTAGCTGATTTTTCCAGTGCCAAAATTTTTTCACTCAGTGCAGTCCTTAATCTTGCGATGATGTCTACATCATCGGCGTATGCCAAAATCTGCACTGATTTATTAAAAAAAGTACCTGTAGTATTTATGCCAGCATCTCTAATAACTTTTTCTAAGGCTATGTTAAACAGAAGACATGCTAATGCATCTCCCTGTCTAACTCCATTATAAATTTCAAAAGAGGTAGATAGTTCCCCCTGAATTAGTATCGTTGAAATGGTTTCAGTGAGTGTGAGCATTACACGTCTGATTAATTTTAATGGAATATTAAAATCAGATACGGTCTTCAATAGCTCAGTCCTATTAATACTGTCATATGCCGCCTTAAAATCCACAAATAAATTATGGGTCTCTATTCCAAATTCTCTACATTTCTCCAAAGTTTGTCATAGGGTGAAGATTTGGTCAACTGTGGACCTTCCTTTGTGGAAGACACACTGATAATCGCCAATGACGCTGTCTACAATGGGAAACAGTTGTTCAAAAAGGATTAATAGTTCACTATTGCTAATAAAATTGATTCGTAAGGCCACGGGTATCTGCCAAAAATTAGGTAGATCATTTAGGGTTTTTCAGCTGAAAGAAATTAAACTCTGCAGTAAACCATCCAAATCCATGAAACATTCAGTAAACAAGATCAGCCCAATTGTGGAATATCAAAAGTTAAAATAGTGAAGTATCTCTTCATGTACTTGAAGAGATTACTGTAAAAAGTCACTAAGATAATAAAACAATTATCCATGTCCATATCTCACTGGACCAGCTCTTTTGAATGTTGATTTTTTATCTTGTCACAGACCTCTGGAACATCAAAATATTATTCTCTAAGAGGAGCATAAGTGCTTGATCTTTTGAGAATAAATGGTGTGCTATAATTAGAGATATTGCTGTTATGCTCTGTTTTTAATATATTTCCTAACATCCAAAACAGGAAAATTGAAAAAATATTCTTTCAAAATTTTCAATATTTCCCATTGCATTTCTGGACTATGTTTATTTGCTTGCCTTAGGGCAGTGTCTCCCGAGCGTATGACTTTTTTACTTAAAGTATGAATTTATGACTTAGACTTAAAGTATGAATTTATGACTTTATGACTTAAAGTATGAATTTTATGACTTTTTTACACTCTTTCTAAATTTTTCGTAGCACTGTGTACCACAAATAAAAAAATGAATGTATTTTTTACTATAAAAAAAATTTCACTAAAATTAAATATCACAATTGGCTGTAGACAGCACTAATTACGTTGAAGAAGGCATGTTTAAATCAAAGTTAGCGTGTCTGTCTAGGTAGGCTTGTTCAGATCTCCCCCGCAGGATACCAGTTTTTTTTGTGCCTTGCGTTAAAATTTTTTCAATCTGCAAGACCACATCTTTGTATTCTAGAATTAAAAGTAAATAAAGAAAATCTAGGCATCCTATTGTATTCAATGTCAAGGGCAGAGAATACCATTATATCTATATAAGAAATACAATTTTGAATAAAAGATCTTCAAAATTTCTATAAAGTTGAAAAGTAAGACTTCTTGAGCTTGCTGGAAACGGCCCTGTAATAAATTTATGCCCATGAAACCTATGTAAGCCCATGTGGCTTATTAACTTTAAGTCCTTAATAGTGAGTATAATTTACCCTCAGTATTTTGCTACACTTTGAACTTCTTTCATTCTGTTCTGTAGCAGTTTTCTAAGTCTAGTGTGTGTCGTTAAAGTATGAATAAAATCAAATTTCAAAAAGTCGAAGTAATATGGATCAAAAAGCTAATGATTTTAAAAGTCTTTTTTAAATATTTCTCTTTTAATATTCCTTTACAAGTCAAAAGCTTATCATTATCAGATTTGATGTTTTTAGGAAAATGAATATTCTCCAGATCATGTAAAAATAGTCAACTTAGATTTAGTTTGTTTTCGGATCTACTGAATTGATTTCAAGAAAATGGTATTTGTCTTATTCATCTTCCTGACATCTTTCATTTTTTGGAATGCATCTTGTTTTAATGATCCAATTAGAAACACTCTTTTTATGATGTAAATAATGCATGTTCAGACTCTGTTTGAAACTAGCAGAATTTCCTGTCTAAGGTTCAGAAATTTTACCGATATTTTAAAAAAAAATTGCAGTTATTATTTTTAGAAGAAAAACAATAACTCCTATGCTAATGAGGTAAAACTTATCACAGTTTAGATAAAATGCTTTAAACAGCATATTTCATGTTTATGCATCAATAGATGGAAATTCTTATGTCGTTGGTTCAAGATAGGGTTGCTAAGGATAAAGAAGGGCTAAGTAAGATGCCATTCGAGTCTGTGATACAGAGCCACAACCACTGTGAACATTTGCGGAGGCCTTCAAAGCCTTTGGGAAAATTAGAAACTTTCTGTAATCATACCAACTTGCAGAAAATGAACAGCAATCTGTTAGATTTTCATTTGTGCTGAGTTACTATGTTTTATTTGTTATTTATTTTGTTATCTATTTTTTTGATAATGTTATTAACAATTAAAACACTCATGGTTCTAAAGCTATGTATGTTCAAGGTTTTGAATTTAAAATTGCTTATGTTTAATTATTTCATTTCTTTTTTTTCTCTAATAAATTTATTTATATTTTAGGTTTTGTTGAAAGCTGTTTAAATGTGCAAGACTGGATATTCTTCGATTTCCTGAATTCATAAATGAATAAATTTTCTATGGCAACCGCAACTAAAATGAATTATGAAAATCAAGTAAATCTCTCTTGCATACGGAATTTTAATTATTTGGAATTCCTTGTCATAAGTACTTGATTATATATATTATTACACATATTATCACAAATAAAGCATTTTTCTAAAAGTTAATTTGTTTTTAAAGAAATATGGCTGAATTTAACAATACATGCAATTCTCAAAATGTTGTATTACAAAATCACATCAATCATTTTAATTTAAAATTTTTTACTGATAAAGAAATCGAAGAGTTACCTGATGCTCCAACGGAGCCTATTCAACAGCATGTTAATCTTACTAATGAGAATCCTGTATTGAACAGCATATTAAACAGCAATAAAAGTGAACATTTTCTTCCTGTGCCCGGTGCTTTACTACCATCTGCAAGCCATACTAAATTAAAAAAAAGAAGACCTAGTAGAAGAAGAATTTATTCAAAACCTCGTAAACGAATGAGAAAGAAAAAAGAATTATTTGCAGAAAATGAAATAAGTCCATTTTTAAATGACATAGACTCTCAAGATTTTGAATCTGATGCTTCCTCTGATACTATCATTATGGAAGATTTTGATATTCCACCTGTGCAAAACATTTTGTCCACAAATTTTACTAACAATGCTCCCTGTCCAAGTGTTAAACTGCCCGAACTTGGAAAATTATTAATTAGTAATGATATGATTAAATCTGATTTTCCAGTCAAAGTAAAACAGGAACTTATTGAAAGTAACACTGACTTGAATAGTTCTAATATTTGTTCTACCACATTAAACATTAAAAAAGAACCAATTGACTATGATATTGCTAATGTCGAACCACCAGCTCTACCAGAAATTAGTGATGTCTTTCCTGTGCGAAATACACATATTCCCTCTTTTAAAACATTACATTCAGATACAAAAAAATATCCTGATTTTTGTTTTAAGGATGCACGATTTATTGCTGCTCAAAAACCTAAGCAAACAGCTAGGAAAAGAACTGCTCCACGAAATCCAGTTTTAATAGGTAATGATTTACAGAAAAAAAATTCTTCCAAGTATAAAAATAATAGCTCATTTAATGAAGATCTGAACTTGACTATTTATAATCAACAGGACTTCTTGAATAATGAAAAAATTATTACTTCTGCAAATAACAGCTCCGTAGCATTTAGTGAAAAAAGTGAGCCTATACATTGTAAAAAAATTGTACAATCTAAAAATAAAGTTAATACTGCCTTAAGTAAACAAACGAAATCTGAATTTTTAAAGAGTGATACAGCTTCTGTATTTCCGCATCTTTTTAAAGCTCTCTGTGAACAAGAAAAACTTGCCAAAACAACTCAAAAGAAAAATACTGCTGTTAAAAAGAACACTTCCCCCAAGAAGGTAAACTCTAAAGTAGCAAAGTTATCTGAAGAATTATTTCATAATACTCAAGAAGAAGGGCTTTTAGTTAAAGACAGTGACAATCAACCAGTTTATTTGTTTCCTTTTGAGAACAGACTTCTTTCTAATAAAAATAATTTTAAAAAATCTAATAGTGCTAAGCAACTTGAAGAACCTGGATTTAAACATGTACTTGAAATGAATTCTAATGTTGAAAATTGTGAAGATCAGCCACCCGACATGTTTTCACCTGAAAGCAAATTTCTTGCAACAAAGAAAATATCTAAAAAATCCAAAAATATAAAACTATTGGAAGAACAAGTGTTTAAGAATGTTCTTGAAGAATCATTTACTGATAGTTATGGTGAAGATCTACTAGCTCAAACATTTTCCTCTGAAAAAACACCTCTTACAAATAAGACCTACAAAATAGCAAAAAATAAAAAACTATCTGAAGAGCACAGAAATGCTCTTGAAGAAGAGTTTATAGTTACTGGCATTGAAAATCAACTAGTATGTCATTCTGATGAAAAATCACTTCCAGAAATTAAGCATATAAAAAATGGGATGCCAGAAAAATTAAAAAAAGCTTCAGAAGAGAATCTATATGTTGGAAGCTCAGAAGATCTAATGTATCCATCTCCTTTGGTAACCACACCACTGCCAAAAAAGAAGACATCTAAACGAAAAGCACCTCTTACAAAAAAGAAAACCTCAAAAATATCAAAAAATAAAAATCTATCCGAAGAACTTAAAAATGCTCTTGAGGAAGAGTTTATAATTTCAGATAATGTAAATCAACCATCCTGTTCTTCTAAAGAAAAATCGCATCCAGCGATTGAAGATTTTGAAAGTGTAATATCAAATGAAATTAAAAATTCTTCTGGACAGAATCTATGTGTTGGAAGCGCAGAAGATCTGATGTATGTATCTTCTCCAGTAAATACGCCATTTCTGAAAAAGAAGACACCCAAGAGAAAAGCACCTCTTACGAAAAAGAAAACCTCCAAAACATCAAAAAATAAAAATCTGTCTAAAGAACTTAAAAATGCTCTTGATGAAGTGTTAGTTACAGATAATGTAAATCAATCAGTATGTTCTTCTGAAGAAAATTCACACCCAGAGATTAAAAATTCTTCTGACCAGAATGTATGTCTTGAAAGCACAGAGAATCTAATGTATTTCTCTTCTGTAAATACACCATTTCTAAAAAAGAAGACACCCAAAAGAAAAGCACCTCTTACAAAAAAGAAAACATCAAAAATATCAAAAAATAAAAATCTACCCGAAGAACTTAAAAATGCTCTTGATGAAGAGTTAATAGTTTCAGGTAATGTAAATCAACCATCCTGTTCTTCTATAGAAGAATCACATCCAGCGGTTGAAGATTTTGAAAGTGTGGTGTCAAATGAAATTAAAAATTCTTCTGACCAGAATCCATCTATTGGAAACACAAAAGATCTAACGTATTTATCTTCTCCAATAAATACACAATTCCTGAAAAAGAAGACACGCAGGAGAAAAGCACCTCTTACGAGAAAGAAAACCTCCAAAACATCAAAAAATAAAAAACTTTCTGAAGAACTTAAAAATACTCTTGACCAAGAGTTAATAGTTACAGGCAGTGAAAATCAACCAGTATGTTCTTCTGAAGTAAAACCACTTCCTGACTCTGAAAACATGAATAAACTTAATATGTTATCAGAACAGTCAAAAAATGTTTCTGAAGAGGACCTTAGTGTTGGGAGCACAGAAGATTTATTCTATTTATCTCCCCATCTAAACACTTCGCTTCCAAAAAAGAAGAAACCCAAAAGAAGCCCACGCAGATTTTCAAGTAAAAAAAAGAAATCTCATAAAAAATCTGATGAGCTCAACTGTAGTATTCAATCTATTTCAGATATTAAAGATACTGAAGCTATAGGAATTGTATTAAATGAAGAACGAAGCATTCAGATTTCTGAGCCAAATCTGATTGCTATTGGTACAGAAGATGTACTCGTTGCAGATAAGATACCTGCTCTTAGCACGCGCAAAAAGGTCAGCAAACGAAGATCCCCTAAGAAAAATAGTCGTCTAAGAAAAAGAAAAAAGTCAGTGTCTTCTAAGATAGAAATCAATAATAGAAATACAGAAAATATTATTTTGAATGAGAAAAGTGATTTCAATGAAAATTTAAAAACGACTGAGATCGCTCAAAATAATTCTGCTAATATTCACCCAGCACTTGTGTCTCAATCTTTATTAATGAAAAGTGGTAGTCCAGAATCTTTAAATTTTAATATAATTAGTTTGCAGAATAGGGCTGAATCAATAAATAAAGCAATTAATTTTCAAAATTCAAAAAATAAAACTAATCAGTCATCTATGTTTCTCCACAATGATCGAATTAGTTTATTCAATTCCTCTTCAAGTTCCATCCTTAATTTAAGCATAAAAAATGAACCAGAGGATCCGGTAAATAAAACAAATAACATTAAAAATAATTTTAAAGAAAACTCTTCAAACGTTAATGTTGAAACTAATGGTGAAAAAAACATTGTTCAATCAAAGGCAGCTACAATTGGAGATAATACTTTCAAGCCTTATGGTAATATTTCTATTAAAACTGAGGTATTGAGTGATGATGAGTGCTCTATAATCGAAGTTATAAATGCTTCACATGAGGTAAATATAAGATCCACTATGTCTGCTGAAAGTTCTATGCAGCCAACTGATTGTTCAATTAAACCATCTGAAAGACCAATAAAACCAACAGAAAATTTAGTAAAACCAACTGAAAGTTCAATAAAACCAACTGAAAGTTCTATAAAACCTGTGAAGTCAAGAAAAGATCCGATACTGAGCAGGTTAGAAGACATAGCACCAAATGAACTACTATTAGGTACACGTTCTGAAACTAAACGATTACGCTTATTAGCAGCAACTTCTAGCACTGGTAGTGAGAATAAAGCCTCTAACGTAGATTCCCAGAATTCTGTAACAGAAGATAAATCAAACCAAATGTCTTTGAGTGTTTCAAATGCCACTTCAATGTCTGAATCATCACCATATGTCACACGGAAATCTAAATCAAAACAAATTACTAATACATCTCAGACTTTATTTTCTAATGAAGCAGTTTTACAAGAGTTTAATAAATCTAAACAAATTTCTTCAACTACCTCATCTCCTACTCCAGTTTCTGATGCATCATCATCACAGATCTCTATTCAAACTAAACAAATTTCATCTGCAATTTCAAGTCCTGCTCCAGTTTCTAATGCTTCCTTATCCCAGAGTTCTATTCAATCTAAACAAATTACTTTAACTTCTTTAAGTCCTACTGCAGTGTTTGATGCTTCACCATCACAGACTTCTGTAGAATCTACTTCAGAAATATCTTATAACTTCATTCGTAACCCATCAGTTTCAATTAAAATTGAAGTTGACAGTGACGAGGAAGATATACCTCTTTCTACTCTTGTTTCTCTTAAACGAAAAAACTCTATTGAAAGTAGAGTAGAAGAAGTAACTTGTAAAACTAATTTTGGTAGTAGTTCTAAAAATATAAATGTTTTTTCAAGCTGTCCTAATACTATCATGCATAGTTCTCCCATTAGTAATTTTCCTCATACTCAAGAATCGACCAAGACTCCCAATAATCAGGCTGATACTTTAATCCCCATTATAACAAGTGTGATGAATACTGACTTGCATAAATTAAATGTTGAATCAATTACTTCCGCCTCTAAATACTGTATGGAGAAAAACACATCAAAAAGCAAACCAACTTGTTCTCCAAATTCCCAAACTATTTCTGATATAACAATGCCTGACTGTTCTATTTCTGTTACGATTCCTCAACAGAATTTATTGAGTAATTCTCTAGAATCATCTAACAAAAGATGTGAGAAACAAGATTTTTTGATCAGTGGTATTCAGATCAAGAAAGAAAAAGATGTTTGGCCTGATGAAATGGAAATACTTAATGGTAACATTAATAAGCAAATTTCAGCAAACATATTAATAAGTGATGAACATAGTTCATATCAAAATTGTACAAGTTCTTCCATTACTAATGAGCTACCCCATAGCATTGGCTTAATTCAGCAAAATAACATTGTAATGAATAACGAGTATGTTTCACGTAAAGAGTGCTTACAAGAAAATGTTTCATTAGGTGATAAAACGGATAATCATCAAACTTTGAAGACGTTTGGAAATTCTCCTTGTGATTTAGAGCAGAATTTTCACTTAATTAACAATAAAACTATGAATTTAAATCCGATTGGAAATTATAGGCCTATTACTGTTAATGAAATGAATAAATTTGAGAGTAGAATTTCAACTTCTAATAGAGATAGCCTTATTTCCAACTTTTTGTCATGCATACCGTCTGATCTAAGCACTATTTCTGAAAGAAATTTAACTTCAGATAACTTAATGGATTCTTCATTAAATTTTAATAATGATTTATGTGGGAAATCAGAAGATTTAGACTCCTCTTTTTCTTCTAGATTTTCAACCCCTTTTAACCAAGATATTAATAATCGTGCAATAGATTCAGCTTCTCTTTGGATTGGAAATGAAAATTCTTCAGATTCAATGCAAACTCATAGCTCAAATGTTTCGTTCTCTTACCAAAACTATGACTTTAGTTCTACTGAAAATCTTTCTAATTATGAAAAAAATATGAAATTCTTCTTCAAATTTCCTTTCCCTGGTGATATTTTATCAGGATTTTATAAATGTCGCAAAAAACTAAAAGGCAAGAATTATATTAGAGCGAATCCACTACCATGGAACTTGAGTTATGAAGAAGTTGCATCTAGGATGCGCAATGCAACAGCTAATGGAGTTGATAAAGGTAAAGATGATAGTGATATAAATGATTTACAATATTATTCTTTAATTGATGAAGAAATAGGTTGTTATCATAGGCTTCTTGGTGTAGCTCCATCAAAAAAATTGATCAGCAAGTGTTACAAATTTGATTTAAAGAGTATTTCAGACCAGGAGACTCAAAATAATTCAGCTCTGTTACCGAAATCAAGCTCAATAGACCATTGTGGGATATCTTCGTTGCCAAGTATTTTTATCACAGACTTAAATGAAGCTCAGAGCTGTAAGGAAACGGAAAGTATTACTGAACTTCTTAATAGTACTAGAAAAAATGTTGAAAGCTTATTACCATCTGAAGCAAGACATACTTTCTTATCAATTCAAGGGACTTCAAAAAGTGCTGAACAAACTCTCAACACTGTTAAAAGTTTTCCCGTTGTCTTTTCAGATTCATCAGATTCTCAATCTATTTCAAGCTCATGCATTCCAAAATTTAATAATGTATTTGATAATTTTTCACGGGATAAAAATATGTCTGAGAATTTAAGTGTGTCTCAAAATATTAGCTTTTTAACTCCTAATGCTTTAGGTTTAACTAATCTTTCAAGTGTTGAAAACACTGTGAAGAGAACTGAAAATGTGTTTTGCACTAATATTACATCAAATGAGAAAGCTATTAATCAAGCTATAATGAATAAAAGTTTTATTTCTATTGATAATTTTAAGAAAAGTTCCGTCACAGATTGCTTTCCCACTGTTTCTTATCCCGAAGTATCTCAAATGAATTTATTAACGGATGATTTTCAATCTAATAAGATATCTGATCCAGAAATTCTATTAGAAGCTGCTGCTGGTAAAGTAAATAATTGGGAAAAGTTATCAACATCTGTTGCTGATACTCCTGCTGTAACTTCAAGTCAACTCTGCACTCAATCCATAAATAGTTCAGAAGTTTCTAAAACTGATATTCTGAGCAAGATATTACAAACAATTGGACTGGCTAATTTTTCCCCACAGAAAGTATCTAATGTAAAAAATCATTTAGTGCCATTACAAATGAATAAACAAGAAACAGAATGTGCTCCAAATTTAGAAAATACTGAAATATCTGAAAGGATAGATTGTGCAGATAGCTCTAAAGAGTCAAAAGAATTAAAAATTCTTGCTGATCTCCCAAATACTTTAGATGATTCCAATGGAACTGGCCGGGAATATTTAAATAAACCACATTCTAGTCTCAGTAATAAAGAGAGCATACTTGAATATGTAATAAACAATCTCAAAGAAAGTCAGAGTAGTTTGATTGAATCTTCAAAACTTGTTCTGGAGAAAAATACTTGTGATGAAATTACTAATTCATCAAATACTAAGATTTGTGAATCAAATATTGATGGTTTGAAGGGCAACAGTAGTGAGGAACAAGGTGAATTACATTTAGATAAAGATAATAATACAATAGTTACTAGAAGTTTAGAATTTTCTTCATTGATTGAACCTGATCCAATCTGCAGTTCTGATGAAAACGAGAATTTTCAAAAGCCCCAGTTGTCATTAAATTTATTGAACTCCATAGTGTCGTTGAATACTGATGATCTTAAAAAGATTTTAGAAACTGCAAAGAATACAAATGTGGGTAATGATTTAACTGTTGAAAACAGTAATTTAAACGATATTGCTATCCCAAGAAGTGATGGACAATATCCCATTTCTGACTATGATAAATTACCGAACAAAAATACTGATAGTATCTCTATTTCTTCAGATTATATGTATTATGATTACCACTCTCCATTTCTGAGAATACCTACTGTGCGGGACTATGACCACAAATCTCCATTAGAAACTGTAACTAATGAAACAAGTGATTGTAATGTCCCTGAAAATAAACTAGAAAAAAATATTTCTACCAAGAACCTGGAAGAAGCAGATTCAGATTTGGATCAAGGTGTAGATAATGAATTTTTGCCTGAATACTGTGATCCGAATATAGATTCAGAAAAAGAGGAGGAAAATACCTCTCCTAAAAAGGAAAATTCTTCAACTGAAGTTCAAAAGCCTTCAACGGACAATGAAAAAGGCAAGGAAGAAAAAGAGAAAATTGCTATTACTGAAGAATCAAATAAAGAAATGCCACAATATAAAAGTAGATGGGAAAGAATAATGGAAAGGAAAGCTATTGAAAAAAAGAAAGATGAAGACTTGTTATTAAGTTATTTCCATTTATCTAAGTCAAGAAGAAGTAATGTTTCTAAGAAAGCTGAATTTCAGAATCCAGCTAAAAAGACTTGCAATTCAGAGCATAGATCTAAATCACAGAAAAAGGAAATTTCTACTGCATCGAAAAGTAATACTACTAATAAGGATGCAGTATTACCTGCTTCATCCAATGACAATTCTTTATCAAATTTTCCAGCTCAAAAAACTATTAAAGTGCAAAAGTCTGTCATGAGCAGACAAATTGAAAAAACGATGACGAAGAAAGACCTGAGCCCCATAAAGAAGACTAAACTGATTGGGAAAAAGCATTGTGACACCAAAATATCAAGTGATAAATTTAATAGTTCACATAAAAAAAGTAAAGATGATCATCAAACAAATGAAGTCAAATTAAGCAAAATTTCTCCAATTAAGAAGAAAGCAAAGTTCAATCAGCTTCCTTCATCTGATGATTCTTCTTCTAATCTATTTACCCCAGATAAGGTAATAAAAGTTATTAATGAAAAAAAGATAGTCAATTCCTGTGGTAAAGATGGAAAGGATAACAAAAAAATTTATGGAAGAGTTACCAACCGAGGAAGTTTTTTGACTCAATCGCCTTTAAGTGATAAGCCTAAGATGAAAACAATTCAAACTAAAAAGAGTTTCTCTAAGCCTAAAGATAAATCTGCTTTCTTTGATGAAATACATTCAAGAATTATTACTCCTAATATTGAACTTACTGCAACAACACCAACCTTCCCTAAACGTGGTTATAATTATTTTAATGATCACAATTATAAAGATGATACATATAGTTATAATGATTATCCTATAAAGCAGCACTCTATTTCCAATAGTGAAATAAGCATATCTCCTATTGATGATTTTTCATCGCTCCCTACTGATACAACTCCTCCTGTTCTCGGTAACAGTTCTTCCAGTAATATACTTCCTTACATTCAAAGTGAAAGCTCTCTTCCTGACCCAAGACTCAAAACTCTACATCCTGTACTTCCAAGTATATCAAACAATGATATTTCTTCTTTTGTAGGTACTACAGCAAATATTCCATCTCGCAGGGAATCTGATACAACTCCTACTTTTCAGTCTTCTATAGTGTCTAGTTCAACATTTAATTTTGATTCTTTAGCAAATAAGATTAACAGTAGGGAGTCAGAAACTACTCCCGTTTTTCAGTCTTCTTTAGTGTCAAGTTCAACATTTAATTTTGATTCTTTACAAAATCAATCTAATGACAGGTTGCCTATTCACAATGTAAGCAACAAGCCTAAACAAAGACTTTCAAAGTGTGTGTGCTTACCACCAAGACATATGAAAGATTCTGTTGGACACACAGTGTTTGATACTATTAATGTTTTATTATTGATTCTTGAGTGGAATGTGGATTGGTTGTTTCAGCAACGTAAGAATTCTTCTCCTCCACCTATATCTAAAAGTGTAAAGAAAGTAATAAATACTTATGAAGATTTTGAAAGTTATTATAACACATATTTTCCATTATTGTTACTTGAGACATGGCAAAGAATATATGTGTCTTGGAATCACCTTCATTCAGCTCATCCATATATCTGTGAGATAAAAATGTATTCTGTGGAACAATCTTCTATTAAAGTGGAATGCCAGACAATATTTAATCCGGCTGATACTGACAGAGGACTCTTTCCTGAAGAAGGAAACATTATAATGGTAAAATTTGGTACAAAGAGCAAAGGGGGAATCAAAACTCTGGGTTATGTAACTGAGGTTAAAGTTCGTGCAGTTAATCCAAGTATTGACTCTCAGAGTAAATGTTATCAATTTTGGAAGTGTTCCCCAAGTGACCATCTTCAGTTGCTTCAAATGAGCTTCATTGGTGCATATACCTCTGAAGACTTTGATATAAAGCTACCTATTCGTGTTCATGTGCTATGCAATGTTAAAATAAATTTAAAGCAAAATGATGCTTTATTAAAAGCAAAACATTCTCCGTTAGGAAAAAATATTTTAAATCCATTAGAAGATGAATTAAGAGTTGTTGAGTTGGCTAGTCGTGATTCTATTGATGAAGAAAAGATAGCTTTTTGTGTTAAAGAAATTGTAAAAGGTATTTTATCACCTCACCCTATTCCAATCATAACAATTGTTAAATCATACCCTTCATCTGATCGTTTGATGATTCTCCCTCCACTGATTAAAAGAATGAAAGACTCATATGGTACTAAAGTACTATTATGTGCTAGAACTACAAAATGTTTGATTGACATTGGATTGTATTTAGATGAAAACCATGTTAAATTTGTGATAACAGGTAAGCGAGCTGATGTTCCATTGAAATTGAAAAAGTACCTAGTGGAGGATCTTGCTGTCAATCGTGCTTTGTCTGATCAGCTATCAGAGAGCAGTGGTCTTGAAGATCCTGTCTGCAAAGAAAACTTAAGACAAGAGAGTGTAGCAAAGGCTAAAAAATTTATTTTTAATGACTGTGATGTAATTTTGTCATTAATAAAAAATTGCCATGATGATTATCTCGGACAATCTTTTGCAGATGGTGACAGTGTTTCTCAGTTGTGTTGTATTATTGATGAAGCTAATCTATGTACAGAACCAGAAATTTTAATCCCTGTGTTATTTGGAATAAGCAAATTGATTTTAATTGGTAATCCTGATGTTTCTGCTAAAGTTTGTTCCAAGACAGCATCTAGTTATGGTTATGGGAAATCCCTTTTCCATAGAGCATATGAGTTAGATCTTATATCAGAATAAAACGAGTCTATATTATATGTATATATGTACATATGGAATTTTATAAACTGTTTGTTAATTTCTTTTTAAACTGCATTTTTTCTGAATGTTTAGCATTGAAATCATTTAATTGTTGATCTCAATACAATTGATGTGGCAACTTTCTAAACTTCTGAAAATAGCAGAAAAACCCCTCCATTTTTCATTTGAGTGATGAAGTTTTGTATATTTTTAATTATTACAATGCATTTTATTTTCCTTTATCTTTCCTAGTATTCTGAACAAAAGTGTATATAAATTAATATGCTTCTATCCTTTAAGCTATGTTCAAATTGTTTTAATCGTATTAAGTAAATGTTAAATATTTGCTGCCTATTTTGTTGTTCCTCAGTTTTATGGGATTTCTCAAAATTCATAGTGTGAATATTACGGAATGATGGACTATAAGTATAAAATGTGAAAGATATCTGGCAAGACAGTCGGTGTGTATTATGATTTCATTCAAAAAATCTAACACATCAAGCTGACCTTAACTCTCTGTCATCAGATGAATTAAAACAATAAAAAAAAAACCTTGAAAAAAATCTGTTTCTGTAGAACACCAAGTTCTCTGAACAAGTTTTGTCTCTGAGGTTTTAAGGAAACTGATATTTGCTATGTATAATTAAAGCTGATCCAATTAACAAAAGTGTACATATACTAAAAATAGAAAAAAAAAAAAACCTGAATTAATGCTAACAAAGAACCAATATAAAATTTTTGTTAAAGCAAATATCAAATTTTTAAGATAATAGAGCGCTTAGTACTACTATTTTGTTACCACTTAATCTTGCCAATTTGAAATGCAATGGGTAGTTATAGCCAAACAGAGGGGAAAATTCTCATTGCAGATAAATTGCATTGACCAAATATTTGTTTAATGTTAAAATTTTTCTATTGAAATTTTTTATGGTTGTGCATGGGCTGTATTAATATTCATTTTAAGTACCACATCAACTAATGTTCGTACTATGAGCTTTTGAAATATCTTTATGTCTATCTTTATACATTTTTTTTCACTTCATTTATAATTACACTTTTTGAAATGTGATAATTTTTTTTATTTTCCATGTAAATGAATAAGTTTTGAATCTTTAATAACTTTAAAAATTTGAATTCATGAGTGATATTTAGAATTCCCAGGGATATATCTAGTATTTTAAACGAAATTTGTTAAAACTAGTCAGCCTCTTCCCCTTGGTTTTCTGCAATCAAAACTGAGCGCTAATTTTATTTTTACTTTCTTCTGTTTATTAATTTCTGCTTATTAATTTCTTCTTATCAATTTCTGCATTGAATGTTACTGGAATACTGAGTTTAACAGTCATTAAAGCTTAATATGAAAATGTATGGCATAGTGTTAAAAAATACAATATTTTATATTTTTCTTAAAAAAATTAAAGAAATAAGTGCAGTTTCACAGCCTTGAGGTATCCAAGTCATAATTTTTGTGCTTTCTTTTTTCCTCTCTTACCAGACTTGATTTAACAAAATCTTTTCAAATCACCTTACCTTGCTATCTTCTATCAGCTTTATTTACATGTTGTATTATTATTACTGTTTTTATTATGCAGTATAGCCGATTCTGTCCCGTGAGCTAAATCAGTAATTTAACTGTTACATTGACACACAACTCTGCAATAAGCTTGAACAAAACTATCTCAATAAACTTGAATAGATTGTTACAAAAGCAATTTGGATTTTGTTAAGTTAGTAATGCATTTAAATCAGTAAAAATATTTAAAGTAATAAAAAGAGTTTGTAATAAAGTCTGTATAGTCCTAACACATAGATTACTGAATCTCCTAACAGGTTTTGAAAGTACTGGTGAAACCAGTTTATTTTTATAATAATTATTCTCCTTCAAGCAAATATTTTGGGATCTTATAAGTGTTAAGATTGCTTTTTTAAATCAAATGCATTGGTTAATATCTCTCTTTCTACTTCAATAAAAACGTGATACATACTTTCTTAGATACTAATTTTTTCATGTACTGTATTTGTTCTCATGCTGCTAATTTTAGTTCAAAAATTACATGAAGAAAAGTAAGTACTACTTACACTTGTATAGACCTATATTTGTTTATGGGCCCATTTAAATAGTTTGGGATTGCAGATTGTAAAAATAGTTATTTTGCTTTATTTTAAATTTGTTTGTGTGTAAACATGCATTTATTCTGGAACTACTTGTTGAATATTTATGTTTTTTGTTCAATGTCAATATTGGTTTTGTGATTGTAGGGAACCCTAGTCTATTATTTTATGCTTATCGAGCAATTTTATGCTTTGACTCTCATAAAATGTGCCATTTCTGATCTTTTTTTTTATATCTGGAAATATTTAGCAGCTCTATACCTATTATTGCAGTAAGTTAAATTTAGTACATTCGAGTTCAATTCAATATAATTTGTTTTTTAGATCGTTTTTTGATCTTTGTTTTAATTTATTTTTAAATAAATTAAGAAACTGACCAAAAAAAAATGCATCTAGTAAAAATGTAATTTTTTTGTAACTTTTATATAACTAAGTAAAAATAATTTTCGTAATTATCTTCATTAAAATGAATGTTTGTACACTGTAATTCAGAAAGTGCAATATTAAGTTGAAGTGCAACTTCCAATGTAAAAAATTGTATATAGTACTTGTATTCAGTAGCATGATTTTGAAATTTTTCGTATATTTACCTTTAATAAAAACTTTTGTTTTATCACATCTCCAGAATATTGCCATTTATGTAGCTAAAAAAATGTTATGACTACTAAATTGTGTTCATCTGATCTGTTAATATCTATCAATTGTATTATATATGCTTGTATATATATACTCATTCTGTGAATTTGTTTATTGTTTAATAAAACTGACTTTTTTTAAACGTTTATTTTGCAATATTAGGGACTTACTAAATAAAGACATGATTTTGGGAGGGCAGAACTAGTTTTTAAAGCCAGAGCAAAATAGAATTATTATTATACTGGACTCACCTGACTACCAATATGCAGGTGGATAAAAGTTAAGTTAGTGTAAGGATGGATAAGCAGTCAGGATTTTCATTGGTTGTCCTGTAAATTCGTGCATAACTTCAGTGTGTGAAATTATGCCTGCATATTTAAAATTATCACACTAACACAACATGGAATGGAAGTTAAAGAAAAATGCCTAGTGATTCGCCTCACTGATGATGTTAGTGACGGAATTCACTACCCCTCGGTCTATAGTTAAGAGTATGTTGAGAATATTTACTTTCAGGGAAAACTTATTAACATGCTTAATGATGACCATCCATTTAAATTGACCGATGGCGGAGTCTTTAGCGTTTAGTTGTATGATACTTCTCAACTTGTGAGACGTGTGGCAAAATTTTTTTGGGCCCTCTGCGGCGAACCTCTGGCACTAATATCTTTCCGCAAACTACTTTTAATAATAACAAATATAAATGTTACTAATTTAAGTAAGCAGACACGTTGTGTTTATAAAAAAACCCTAATTAGATGAAATTGTATATATACAGTGGTGGCCAAAAGTGTGGACACTTTTTGAAAGTTTCATGTTTTTCAACTTTGTGTGCTTGTAGAGTATATTAATTTTCACTTAAATACAAACGTTTATACATCAAATTGAAGGTAATTTAATGTAGAATTTAATAATAAGTACAGTATTACAATATCTGTATTACAAAAAAAGTTATGCAGTTAATAGTAAGATCTATCTTAGATTTGCATTTTTTTAAAGTGATACTTACACAATCAATACTTAGTAGGATAACCCTTAATTTTTAAGACAGCTTCACAGCGTCTTTTCATCGAGTGAACGAGTGTTTGGAGTTCATCTTTCGTAATCACATGGTGCCAAGAATCAATTATAGCTTCACTTAGTTGTCTTTTATTGGATGGACGTTTTTTTCGTACAAGAATTTTCAAACGTCGCCACAAATTTTCAATTGGATTGAGATCAGGGCTGTTTCCTGGCCATGGTAATATATCTATGCCTTTATTTTGAAACCATGCTTTGCATACTTTTGCTGTGTGGCATGGAGCTGAATCCTGCTGAAAAATAAATGGTGCGTTGTTGGGGAAGAGATCCCTGATGGAAGGTATCAATTTTGGTTTCAGGACAGTTTCGATGTATTTTTTGGCATTCAGGATGCCAAATCAGGCCGAAAAAAATGCACAAGTGCTACTACCGATAGAAAAATTAAATGGCTATGCCTTCAAGATAGAAAAATGTCATCAGATGCCATTAGATGTGAAATGAATGCAGCTGGTATTGCAGTAAGTTCAAGAACAATAAGAAGAAGGTTATCAGGATTTGGACTACAAGCTAGAATTCCAAGGAAAAAACCATATTTAAATCAAAAGCAACGCGAAAAACGAGTTAAGTCGGCAAAAGAACACATTAAATGGTCAGAAAATCAATGGAAGCAAGTAATCTGGAGTGATGAGAGTAAAATATCGCTCTTTGGAAGTGATGGTAGAAAATACGTGAGACGTAGAGTAGGTGAAGCGCTTCATCCTGATTGCATTGAAGCAACTACTAAAAATCCAACAAATGTCATGATTTGGGCATGTATATCTGCAGATGGTGTGGGCCGAATTCAAGTGATTGATGGCATCCTGAATGCCAAAAAATACATCGAAACTGCCCTGAAACCAAAATTGATACCTTCCATCAGGGATCTCTTCTCCAACAACGCACCATTTATTTTTCAGCAGGATTAAGCTCCATGCCACACAGCAAAAGTATGCAAAGCATGGTTTCAAGATAAAGGCATAGATATATTACCATGGCGAGGAAACAGACCTGATCTCAATCCAATTGAAAATTTGTGGCGACGTTTGAAAATTCTTGTAAGAAAAAAACGTCCATCCAATAAAAGACAACTTATTGAAGCTATAATTGATTCTTGGCACCATGTGATTGCGAAAGATGAATTCCAAACACTCGTTCACTCGATGAAAAGACGCTGTGAAGCTGTCTTAAAAATTAAGGGTTATCCTACTAAGTATTGATTGTGTTAGTATCACTTTAAAAAAATGCAAATCTAAGATAGATCTTACTATTAATTGCATAACTTTTTTTTAAATACAGATATTGTAATACTGTATTCATTATTAAATTTTACATTAAATTACCTTCAATTTGATATATAAACGTTTGTATTTAAGTGAAAATTAATATATTCTACAAGCACACAAAGTTGAAAAACATGAAACTTTCAAAAAGTGTCCACACTTTTGGCCACCACTGTATATAATTTAAATGAATATTTTTTTATTCTAATATCGTGGGCGATATTCTTACATTTTGTCGGAGGAAAACACACTAATTGTATCCTTTTTCACATTTCGTAAATCATATTAAGAAAAAAAATTAAAAATCATGAAATCCGTAACAGGAACTTCAGAAAAAAAGATCGGCATCGAAACCACGCGAATAGGACTCTTCAAAAAGGGGTACTAAAAGCGTGTTTCATTTCGAGATTCGTTTATTGTAATAAATAATGTTTTTAAAATAAAGGTTTTAAAAATTTTGTCAAAATAAGTGCCCCCCCCCCCCAAAAAAAAACGATAGAATCATTACTTTAAATATTTATATGCGTTATTCGAATTTCCCATATTGTCAGAAATATATCGGGATATTTAAAACCCACGTGAAAATCAATAACTACCGAAAATACAATCGTAACATGATTTAAACCAAATAAAAAAAAAAAAAAGCAGAACATTATTTTGCCACAAATCTGAATTTGTAACAAAACCACTTCTCACAGTCAAATTTTATTAAAATGTAAAATATGGTGTACTCGAATACACACACACATATATGTATGAATCAAAGAACATGATTTCTAGAACTGAACTATCTTTTCAACTTTCGCGATTTTTTCCCCCTTGTATTTTCTAATGGAAATTCTAACTGAAACTAGTCATTATCTAATTTTGTTATTCTTAAATAAGAATCGGAAAAATAACGAGCATTACTTTTCCCTTCGATGCGCGTGAAAGGAATCTTCAAAAAGGAAGTAAAAGTTTTGTTACAAAATATACGTTATATAATAATTCTGGTTCTCCGGGATGTTTCCCAGACCGTCGCCAATAGCCCATTGTGCAGCTCTAGTGCGACGTAAATAAACAACAACAACAACAATAATAATTCTGGAAGAAAAAAAATCTTGAAAATCTCGGTAGAAAAGAAAACTAATTTTTTTTTAACCTCATTATTCTTTATTTTTCACAAACATTTCTTTCCCCTCTGATGCTCGAAAAATAATCATATTTTGAATTTAATAACGGAAAAAAATAGTCTTATCGAACATTTCTGCAGAAAGGAAATTTTTTACTTCATTATTCTTTTTTCTTCTTTCTTCTCAAATAAGAATAGAAAAATCACGAACATTTCTTTCTCCTTCAATGATTTAAAGACCAGTTTGCATGTTTTTTAACTCATTGCATTCGTTTAACTATGTTTTGTTTTTTCAAAAGAGGTTTTTTACTAGCTACACAATCTTTTAAACCATAATAAAAGTCGACGTTGTACAGTAGTTACTGACACAGTTTTTTGCCTCGTAACATTCAATTTCTCACGGATTTCTGGTGTTGTTCCGAGACCGCTGCTGCTTACTTTGAATGCAGATAAACTTATCCTCACGTTTGGACATAATTCTAGGTCTCCCTGACCGTTGGTGGCTCTTAATTTGGTCAGTTTCTTTCTTCCTCTGCAAAGTTCTGACAACAATAGTCTGGGAAACATTAGTTTTTAAGGGTAATTTGTCTACTTTAATAGCCTTCTTAATGAAGTGCAATAATAACTGCACGTGTTTCGACACTTATTTCTGGTATTTAACCCATATTTCTGTAATAAATTATACAGGGTGTTTATAAAGTCCCAGACCCATTTTGATGTTTAATAACTCATAAAATAATAAAGATAGATTAAAATTAATAACATAAATGGTTAGATAGACTCAAAAAGTTTCCTGACCCTTGTCAATGGACTTCCACGTGTGCCCCTTCTTTTTTAGAGGTTTACAACAGATATGGTAGGAAGGATAGAAGATGATGCTGACTTTCGGAAGCGCATAATGTTCTCCGACGAAGCATCCTTTCATGTTTCTGGCATTGTTAATCGCCACAATGTGCGCACATGGGGACTGAAGACACCCATGAATACCGTGAGACACAAAGTGATTCTCCAAAGGTTAATGTGTGGTGTGGACTAATGCACGACCGAGTCATTGGGCCTTTCTTTTTTACAGAAAAGACGGTCTCATCAGTCGTATACTTAGACATGTTTGAAAACTTCGTATTTCCACAACTAGAAGAGCTTCAGCCACATGTCTTTTTGCAACAAGATGGTGCACCACCTCATTGGGGTATCATCGTTCGTAGTTCTTTGAATGACCATTTTATAGGAAGACGGATTGGGCGAGGAGGTCCAATTCCTTGGCCACCCAGATCACCTGATATAACGCCGCTGGACTTTTTTCTTTGGGGATTTTTAAAGGACAATGTTTACAGGAGGGTCGTGCCGAACATTGATGATCTAAAAGCCAGAATTACAACCGCAATAGCCTCTGTGGATGCCGACATGCTTGCCGCTACCTGGCGTGAAATTGACTATCGACTTGATATTCTCCGTGCGACAAAGGGGGCACACGTGGAAGTTCATTGACAAGGGTTATGAAGTTTTTGAGTCTGTCTAACCCTTTATGTTATTAATTTTAATCTATCTTTATAATTTTATGAGTTATTAAACATCAAAATGGGTCCGGGACTTTATAAACACCCTGTATAAAAAAATTTTAACTTTTGTTTTTAATGTGTCCACGTTATTCTAGCAAATTAAGGTTGTTATAACAATATTTTAAATGTGATATGTACATGAAATTAAATTATAATGAACCTTACAAAGGAAGATGAAAGGTAAATTGTGTATAAACTAAAAATGAATGAAATTTTTAAAATAATTATTTTTTTTAGAATAAGTATTTACATGCACTTTCATTCATTTCGTAATCAACTACAGAATACCTACAAAATGAAAAAAATAATGAACAGTTTTAAATGAAAATAGCATTTTGTGAAGTTTGTTGACGTTCATATTTATAAATTGCATATTTAGGCCAGAAATATATAATTATTTTTGGAAGTTTTGAAAAATATACAAGTTAGTCTTAACTTTTGACCGGTGCTGTATTAATTGATATGGATTATATTTTCGTTTCCAGTACTTAGCTCATAAATACTTTTTTCTAGTTTTTAATTTTAAGAAAATATTTCCAAATAAATTTTCTAGCAAATGAGTGCAAAGAATGTAGTATAACGATATAATGCTTCCTAAGGCAGCAGATTCCCTATAAACAGATACAGGAGAATCGATCATCGATGATGGCTAGCTAATAATAGAATAATGTAATAATGTTATTAAATAAAGAATCAATAAGGATTAAATAACTATACGATAAAAGTTCTGGAATTCTTAAGAGTTGTTTAGATGAATAAACATTATGGATCAGTTTTACACTACATGATCTTTAACTTCCCTTACACCTTCAGTTATCGCCGGATTAAAATATTTTTAAATTGATTTATTGTAAATTTCCGCGGAATATTTTGTTTAAATGCTTACATAAAGATTCTTAATGAGGACTCTTAAATAAAGACTTTATTATCATAATTATTAAGTATAATAAACTGTTTACTCGAAAAATACATAAAAATTTAAACTAATTGTTTTGCATAGACAAAATGCAATTTTACATTCCTATGGAAAGAGAAAAGGTAATGAAAGCAAATTTCGATTTATAATTTGCAATGTTACACACCTGTTTTTCCAGAATTTTAATACTACTCATATTATACCAAGTATTATTATTTTTATTTCCTAAATTCTCTCTTTGAAAATCAAGTTCTTCTGCTCACAGTAGGATTTGAAACTTCTGCTGCAAATATTTAATTTGGTGCACTGCTCGTAAAAAATTAAATGAATAAATTGGATTTAATGATTGGATTTTTCTGTACTAGGATTCATTCTTAAGGGCACGAGAGCCTAACCTTAATTATACTTATTAATTTGTGCAGATGATTTGTCGTTACTTACTCATAAATATAGGGATTGTCCCTTGATCAGAAGTTTTAGTGTCTAGGGTTTTTTGGTTTATTTGAAATTTTAAGGTTAATATGTTTACATTTTCATAATTATGCAGTAGTAACTATATAGAATTTCTATTGTTGCACATATTCAGTAGAATTTCAAAACCATTGAAGCAGTGAGGCAATTAATATTCATTTATTTTTATTTCTTTATTTCAGTACACCAATTGTAAGTCATTCTATGACGATTTAACCAGAATTCGATAATAATAATAAAATTGCAGATAAAAAGTCAAAGGTTAAAAAGGAAAGAAATTTAATTTATGAAATTAATACATCTTATGAGTTTTTCCCCCTCTTAGCGACTCCATCCTTCGAAAATCATTCTCAAATTGCGAATGAACTTTTGGGTTAAATATTTTTTGATTACGCTTTTTGGATTGCTTTTTCTTTTTAGAATGTTTTCGCCAAAAAGTATAAACTCCTGTCATCACTATTTCAGCAAAATCATAAACAGCCACAATCGAAACTCCAAGGTACATTCCCATGTAACCGCCGATGACACTGAACAGTTCCATGCTCTACAATAAAGGAGAATAATTATAGAATAATAAAAAAATATATGCAAAAATGAGTGTTGCAGTGGTTAAAATAATTATAGAATAATAAAAAATTAGAATAATTATAGAATAGAAGGAATAATTATAGAATAATAAAAAAATATATGCAAAAATGAGTGTTGCAGTGATTAAAATAATTATAGAATAATAAAAAATTAGAATAATTATAGAATAATTATAGAATAGAAAGAATAATTATTGAATAATAAAAAAATATATGCATAAATGAGTGTTGAAGTGGTTAAAATTGTAACAACATCTCGAGATGGCTGATGAAATAATTTTCTGAGCTAAATAGCTAATAAGCTCAGAAAAAATTTAATTTAGCTGAATATCATTTAGATTAATGATATTTAGGGTTTGCAATTGCACTCATAACTAGTGATAGAGCTTCTGAATTCTGACTCTTAGAAAACGGAATATTAACTCAATTATGTAATTGATGATGTGATTGTGAAAAATTACATGTCATGTCACTGGAACAACTGATTTAAGGTGCATTATACTAAAAAAGTGATAGTTTCTTTCCTGATAATTATACTGAAATTTTCTTTAAATTTCAGTGAGAACAAAGGGATATTTTTCTATAAATTGAGTCAGGAAGGACAAAAAGAAAGAAAGGAAAAAGGGAATGAAATAATATAAAAAACATAGGAAAGTAACAACTTGAAACGATGTTTGCATTTGTTATTAAGAGATTGTGGTGCTAAAATTAGATTAAACTTTATCTATAAGGCTGTTTAAAGCAGAATACTATCTAAAACAGAAAGATAAAAGGAATTCCATCTAAGCGTAAGAAGTTTTAAACTCATTTTCAATAACCGAATGTGATGTGTTATCGGTTTGGTGATGCCCTTAAAATATTTTTCTTGCAATTTTATTTTAAGCTAGCAAAACCTTGCACTGCAATCACATTTTTAGTCAACTCATTTGTATGGATTATTAACTTGGTAGCTCATGGCTAATAAGTAATTAAGTTTATAATAGCTTATTTTAAAGAAATATATAAATAATATATACTTACTTCAAATTTTGCATTGTATGTCATATTTGTCACATCGAAACCGTCAAATACAATTTCAATCCACATTGTTTGACATCTGAAATCCGAAAAGATTAATAAGTTTTTAAAAATGGTTGTGAAAAATGTTGGGCTAAACTTTTTAATAATGGGAAAGTCATAGATGAAGTATTAAATTTTCGAACACTCATTGCAATAGAAAGTGCCTAATGTTCTTTAAATATTTTCATAAATATAAATAATATTACTAAAGTTAGAAAATTCATCTATAACAAAACGTGTCTAGTTAATATTTGTACAAGTACAAGGCTTACTAAAATGACAGTCAATAATATATAGTTTCAGAATCTTGTCAATGACGCAAAAAAGGAACATGTCAGGCGTCGCAACTAATAGAAACGTGAAAGCCAGCGAAATCTGTCATAACATCAAAATCAACTCAAAATGTCTGTTTTAAACATGATTACTGATACTATTTCAAATAATTGCATTGTTCTATTCAGAAGTATCGGGATCAAAGGTAGGGAACTTATAATTTGGAGTGCCATTTATTGGAGTTTGTTTTGAAATGTGAATAACACTGGGGAGCAATTTTTTGTTTTATCTCTTGTTTTCCGTTGCATGAGATTTTTTTAAAACACATCTTATATGGGCAGATCTCTAAAACCTTTAACTTTTGATAATAAAAAAAGTAATAAAAAATAATAAGCACACTATTTTTACACCTCCAGAATTGTTTGAAAATGTATAAAATATCAGAAAATAATCGTGAGCATCGAAAATTTCGATGCCCTTATAAGTATAAACAAAAAATTAAAATTTTTAAACTAGTTTCTCTAGGTTTATAATCACAAACTGTCATTCGGTGAGGTTACAGTTGCGATGTCAAGACAGTAGTCAGACGCAGATCTAAAAAGTAAATGTTGAAATCAATCAAAATTTTGATCACACGTTTGTCATCGCATTGCGTTGCATCTGAGTAAAGTTTTCGATCTATTCTCTAGGTTGTCCAGACTAAACCTGTCAAACCGTAACCTCAGGATTAATTAATTGAATTTAACATATCAGAACTTAGTTTTTTTCTTATGTTTTACTAATTGAAGATATTTTTTGACTGAAAATAATTCAAGTAAGTCTTTTTATACATTTTATAAAAATTTATTTTAATATTAAAATTTTTCAATTCATTTATGATACTAATAATTTTTGATGAAAAATAAAGGGTAAATATGGATGAAATTATTAAAAAGAAAAAATTGCTCAATAAAAGAAAAATAGGCTCAATAAGTTTACATGTTTATTAAATAAATGATACTTTTGTCGTTTTTAGGATTTTTAATGAAATGTATATAAACCTAGAAAAACTAGTTCAAAAATTTTAATTTTTTGTTTATACTTATAAGGGCATCGAAATTTTCGATGCTCACGATTATTTTCTGATATTTTATACATTTTCAAACAATTCTGGAGGTGTAAAAATAGTGTGCCTATTATTTATAATTATTTTTTTTATTATCAAAAGTTTAACGTTTTAGAGATCTGCCCATATACGTTCGTATCGTTGTCTTCAAATCTGCAATCGTTTTCTCTCTCCTGGCTACATTTTTGAAATGACATTTTTAATCTATTTTTTGTCGAAATTCGCAAGTTTAAAAATGTTAAATATAAAAGAGGGTCGTATAAGTGTTGCGACAAACTTCTAGGGAAGTTAGGGCACATCAGCAAATTAAAAATTGCATGGAATTTTTACCCATGCTCGGAAATGCCGTCATTCACCGTCCGATGCGCTTCCCTATTACGAACTGTTACTTCTTGTGCTTCTCAACAGGTCATTACAGGTAAGACCATATTTTCGGGGATGGGTTCCTATATAGTTTTAATCTTGATGATGTGCTCTAACTTCTCTAGAAGTTTGTTGCAATATTTACATTATCCCTTGTTATATATATAGCTTTTCAAAACTTGTACTTTTTGGCAACAAAATTGTTTAAAAATCTCCTTAAAAAAACTCTGTAACTTTAGGAGCGAAACTAATTTCAGATTTGAAATCTCCAGACCCGAATCAGGCAAGATCAAGTGCTTACGCAAATGCAACAGAAAATTTGTCCTCCATCATAATCATATATGGCAACGTTACTTTTAAAAAGTAACGAGTAAAAAGTGCAAGTAAAAGTACAAGTACTAAACAAAAAAAGTAACGATTTAAAAGTACTTTTCTATGAAATCGAAAATTCAAAGTAACCTAAAATTTTATTGAATAATATTCTTATTTTCCTTAATGTTTTTGCAAAATTGTTGTTACTTATTTAATTATTTTTAATTTTGAAAGTTATGGACATTAATTTATTTTCAAATTTGGAAGAATATTGGCGTTGTTTGACAAGGTCGGGCATAAACATAATTTTAGTAAAAAATGTACTAGGTAGAAATGTATTTAGTTAAAAATGTATTAAGACAAAAATGTATTATTAGTGAGTTCAAAATGAAAATTGAAGAACGTAATAACAAAATCCAACATTTTTTATTTAAAATGTATTAAATAAATGCATAAAACTCGAAAATGAATGAAAATAACTTGCTAATTAATATTTTTATTCATTTTGCGAAATAATTGCATTTCGAAAGTGGTGTCACTTATCCACGTGAAAGCTTAGCCACGCTGAATAAGTGCTCCACGGGAGCACTAGAAGGTACTGCAGTATTATATTTCACATATTTTTTTTACGATTGGATTTTTTTTAGAAAGCTTACCGAGTTTCAGAAAAAAGTAACGATTTCATTCGACATTTCCGTTACAAATACTTGTACTTTTTCCCTAAAAAGGTAACGAAAGTACAAGTAAAAGAACTAAATTTAAGAAGTAACGAAGTACAAGTAAAAGTACGTACTTTTTACTTGTACCGGCGGTACAAGTAACGAAAGTAACAGTACTGCCATATATGATCATAATTGCTACTATACTCTGTTGCAAAGTAAGAAAAACCCATTATCCCCATGGAGAGCGCCTGTTTGCATCTAAGTGCACGCTAAATGGATGACAGGCTCCAAGCGCCAACGAATATCACCATTACCAACTATTGAAACAGCGTAGTACGACCTTCTTTTTGCTTATAAAAAATATAGCACGAATTAAATTTATGTCCGGCGAATTTAACTTTTAAAAACTTTTTTATTGTTTAGAAAGCACAATTATATAATTTGATAGCTAAATAAAACGAAACTACATGCAGCCGTGGATGATTTCTTAAATCCTATACCGCAATGGTCTTTTCTGAGCTTGCAACGAGGTATAGTATGTTATGTCAGTTTTAGGGAAATAAGTCAATTTTAACTTACATGTTTATATTCCAAACTATATTTTCAGCAAAACGTTTTATTTATCTTTTGTATTTACTTCTCATAATCGTCAATATTTTTTTTATTACTCGAAACATTCAATATGATCTGAATATTGTTGAAAAAATAGTTTACAATGAAGTTGAATATTACAAACATCCTTTTTGACTTTTACTATTTACTTTCTCTCTTCTAAAAGTTATAAATGGTACAATGTTAAAAAGCTATAAGGTAGCAATTTGAACGGCCACGAATAAATAGTACTAGTGGGCTGCGCCCCCTGCTTGCTGACGCTCGCCAACCCCCGAAAATTGCTACAAAATCTTATATGGTTTGTTTTGCGAGCCAAGCTTGCTTCGCTCGCTACTAACTTAGGTACATTGCAAATGCACAAAATTCGAAGAATTCAATACAATCATTCAAATCCATATAAAACTTTTTTTAAAAAAAATTACATCTTTTTAGTAAATACTAAGTCATTAAGATAAATTTGAATTCAAATAAATGACATATAATTCGTTAAACCTATTAGAAATGTGCTATAGTATAATTCGTGATATAAATCAAAAATCGTCAAATAAATTCGTAATGTATAAATTCGTGAAAAAAGCGCTTTCGACAAAATACTAAAGTAGAGATCTATCGACAAAGACTACTCACTTCTGCCTAGCTTAATAGTCTGAGATTGCCGCAGCTGATGCTCTCTGGTTATTTCAGCTTCCGTTTTTGAAAGCGCTATATGTTGAGCCACCTCAGCTAGATTTGGCATGTGACATTTTTAGCGGCAATCATTGGTCGATTCGCCGTGTAAGAGAAATAGTAATGTAAACAAAACAAAGCAAACGTTGCCACCGGCCGAAAAGAAATACAGCCAAAATTTGGGAGCCACGTAAGAGAATTATATATATTACATTACGAAGCTTAATCATCATGTATCGGGCAATTTTCCAAAGTTTGGAAGTTTAAAGGAATAGAAATCTTTGTTTATTAGTCGTATAATCATAATTCCATTCTTACCTTTTTGAAAACATATTTTTGTGTGAGCAGTTGTACTGAAAAAAAAAAAGTAAACGAATGAATAAGTACGTTTAATTTAATATTATGAATGCAAGATACTAATTTATAAGTAACCAATGTAACTCAATTTTCTCTTAATATTTTAGAAACTTAAAAAAGTAGTTTTATTATAATTGAGTCGCTTTTATCTTGGTTCTTATGAGATATTCAAAAACGAAATAATTAATAAAAAAATAAATTAGTAATAAATAAAATGCAATGGAATAATAAAGCATTTAACGATTCAATTTAAGATTCTAGGTTTCTGACAAAAAACCTTTTGTAACTATAATAAAAAACCAAATTAACTGTCATAAATTCATACTCACCCCTTGCTCTTTCAATATTAGCTCCTAAAATAAAATATATGAAGAAAATTATGTTCTGATCTTATAAAATCCATATACAATAACTTTGAATATATTGGTGATGTACAGTGGGGGAAAAATGGAACACCCTGAATAACTTTTGATCTCATGATTGAATCTTCATGTACCAGGATTCAGTATTAATGGTTTATGGAGGACAATATTTTAAGTTACGAAATTACGCTCAGAATAATCAGGGAGATGACTTCAAATATGATTATTTTCATAAGTGCAGACGATATTTTAAGTTACGAAATCACGCGCTGAATACACATACCTGAATAAACATAACTTTTTTCAATTTCTGAGTCTCAAAATGCGGGATGTAGCCCCAATCTGGGAAATATGGCTTCAATAGTTTGGACGGAAGAGTGGCCGAAAGTCTGGACCTATTAATGTTAATTTTATTTTTTGCACATTTCGCCATATCTCGATAACTTTTTTTTTTTTTTTTTTTAGCGAAACGAGAAATTTTTGCAACGCAATTATAAAACTCGTGTTATCCAAAGTAAACCATGCCAAAAATGATTTTTTATAATTAATTTTTTATTATTTATTATTAAAAGTCGCAAAAAATTTAAATTGTCAAGGTATGCAAATTTTAACATCACTTTGAGGAAATTTAATTTCATATAGAAAGGCACAAAATTTAAATGAAGTCGGTTGAATAGATTCTGAGAAATCAAATTTTTGAAAAAGTGTATTTAAAATCCAACTTCTCATAAATTATTTGGCAGATTTTGCCCAAATTTTTGCATTTTGCTATATAATATTACATTTTTTAAAATGATTTAAGAATTTGCTTATCAAACTATTCAATATATTTTCGACTGTTAATAAATAAAAAAAAAATTCTGCATGGAATTATTCTTGGATAAACGAATATTATAATCATATGCTAAAATAAAGCAAGTTCTGGAGATATGGTGAAATATGAAAAAAAGTAAAATTAACTTCATGGAGTTATTTTAGATTGCTCTCTTGCCCAAAAGTATTGGGACCGCATTTCTCGGATTGTGGCTACTCTTCATATTTTGAGGGGTTAATGAATCCAAAGCCGTTTCTAAAAAAACTATGTTTAGTCAGAGAATGTACGCTTTTCTGCTTGATTTCGTCACTTAAAATATCGTCTGTAGTAACTAATTAGCATATTTGAAGTCACCCCTCATGAACCATTAAGATTGAATCCTGGTACATGAAAATCCGATAAAATCAAAAATTTTCCTAAGTGTTTCTTTCCTCTTTTTTTGCGCATTGTACAGATGATATAAGGCTCTTTTTTACTGAAACGTTATTCTAATAATAAAAAAATTAAAATTGAGTTAGAATGATGTTTTTAACACGAATATCAACCACTCAACATTTTTGTTGTCGTTGTGATAGTTGATTATTTTTGTCAGAGAGTAAGAAACAAATCGCTCTTGTCTTCTTCTTTCTTAGAGTACATTAAGTAGAGTTGAATGTGGACAAACAAAATACTAAATGCGAAAAGAACATAGAAAAAAAAAAACTTTTCGGGTACGAAATATCAATGCATATAATTCAAAACTAAGAAAGCATTTTAAATTTATTGGCAGTATTATATATTTCTTTTACACAGTTTTTATTGTGTACGTAAAGGTGGTTTTATTGCGTACGTAAAAGTTATCCATTGGTGTTCTGTTTTTAATGATAGTAAAAGTTGAAATAGCTTCCTGATCATTATCAACAGTGACCACATGACCATTTTATAGCTGTATCAAAATCCCCCCCCCCAACTTTTTGACTTATTAGTGTGCTAAAGTTTGACCCGAAGCTCCATGCTAGATCAAAGTATAAGTTTCGATTTCTTCCTGATTTCTTAAAGTAGCTATTTTATTGTGAATTGAATTTATCGTCTGACTAGTTTACATGCTGAAATTTCTAATAAATTTATTCTCTGGGTTTTAATACAATTGTGCAAGCAAAATTTTGAACATGAACTAGCTAGCTAACATAATAATAATAATAATATTGTAATAATAATAAAAATTTCAATAACTGTATTGTGCAGGTAGGAAGGAAAGAAAGAATTATTTTACTTGCATCAAACCTAAAACTAAAATAGTTGGGCGCATCACTTTCGTAACAAACTTCTATCACCACTGAAGCATCCTCCCACATCTTTTAAATGTGATATAAACTGCGCTTTTATTCTGCCAAAAATAAAATTTTTTTTTTTTCCTATTTAGGCTACTTGGAAAACGCAGTTATTGAAATTTTTATTCTAAATTAAACTATTCAGAACCATTTCGAGGTAGTTAGGTTAAATAATGATGAATAATTAATGATGTGCTATTTTATGTAAATGTAAATAAATTCTTACCACAGCTCTTCGCATAAATGAACTTTTCTGAAACAAAAAACGAGGATAATTTGTTAAATCTATTGACAGCATAACTTGCTTCATTTATATTTGAAATACTAACTTCATGCACACTAAAATACACTCAAATGACAAAATTCATGGAACTGCAAATATTCAAGTGACCCTGGTGATAGCATTGTTTAATGGTGTTTTTCCAAGATCTTTTGCCAAAGAAAATACAAAAAACAGACAAAATTTAATTATCCTAAGATTGAAGCGAAACAAAGCTATAAATTTAAATAATGTATACTATTTTACTTTAAAGATTTAATCTGGGATTCAGAACCATTAAAAAGTTTAAATATTGAAATGGCGAATTTTTTTACTTAGACACGGAACTAAATTAAATCAAAGAATAATTCTTAATTTTAGCTAATTTTTACAAGCCCTGGCAAAGAAGCATTGGAGTAATTTTTCACATATTGAAGAACTCAATTTAAAGTAATTTTAATTTTCTCAAAACATTTCATATTTTTTCTCCATATTGAGATTTTACATCTTCGTAATAAGCATAGAGGGCTCTTGCTAAACATAAGTAAAACCTAACAATCACAAATATAGTTGTTTCAAACTTACTATAGTTATAAAAAGTTGCATTATATTTGTTTAAAGTGTTATTTTATGTGAAGATAGAACCTTTGAAGATGACTTATAAGGAAAATGCATTCTCAGGGTATTAATTTGTATTTTAGTGATTCATGTAAACATTTGATAACGCGATTGGAAACCGCAAAAAGGTAGTTGGTGAGAAATTCAGATTTGATAGTGGATTAGTTTCTCGACCCGGAGCCCCTGGAACCCGCTCCAAACTGTTCTGACAAAGTCGTTCGAAAACAAACTGAAGAGTTTAATCAGTTTTCATCTTAAGAGAAGAGTGGAGATATGGATGGTGTTTTCTACACTAGGAAGCGCTGCAAGCTCGGGACTGCCTAAATTTCCGGGTTACTGTTTCAGTTGTATTTTAAAGCCATTTGGCATCATTGTGTTTTGAGATTCTTGCAAACAATACATTTGATTACTTATTACTTGTGTTTACAATGCTAACAATACTGTTTACAATACTAAAAGTGTTAACACTAACGTAAGATGGTGCACAGCTTGCAACACGAACGAACAGTAATAAACAAATGGAAAGAGGCCAAATCAAGACTGCCAAAAAAGCGAGTTATTCAAAATCTAGCAACCAGCTCACCTTTTTTAATAATAAATAACAAAATAACTAAAACAAATTTTCACTCCAAACTCCCCAGAATTACATAATAACATTAATATCTTATGAAATACGACAGATTTGAGCTCAGAAATCATCTAGTTTATTTCTTTTATTGAAAACAAAATTATCCGTTTGAAAACATCGCCTATCAGAATAACATGTAGTAAGCAGCTGCAAACTTTTTAACCGGAACTAGAGTAGGTCCCAAGCCCGAGATTGTTATTGTTTACATTTCTATTGAAAACACCATCCATTCTATCCTTCTCTTTTTCTCATAAATAAACGGTTTCGTGCAGAACTCAAATGTTTTGAAAACAAACGTTTCATTTTAATACAAAATATTTTCTAACGTTGCACCGACAATAATTTTGTCACTTTTTCATCAGATATACATTTGTTATTTGATTGGTGAATTTTAAGTAGAACGATCAAATCGCATTCAGTAGGAATATTCCTTAAGTTTGTAAAAATCTTGAATTGTATTATACAATTTTTTTTATTGTAGTTAAATTTTCTGTTAAAAGTATTCAAATTGTTGATAAGAAAATTATTATTAAATATAGAATAATAACGTCAACCGTTAAACGATTAATAACCGTTAACCACTAAACTATGAACTTCTCCAAAGTTGAAGAAATTTGGAGCATCTCCCATAGTTCCGTGTCCAACAGACCCACTATTAAGCATATTTTTTTTTTATATCGATTATTATATCGTTTACGTATTTTTAATTTTTTATAGAATTTTAGTGGAGAATTTTTAGTCTTATTTTGAGCAAGGTGAGCTGGTGGTTAGTTTTTCCTTAGAAACACAATAAATATTGGAACAAGCTCTAAGACGCTCAGCGTCGCGGAACAAACCCACTTTTGTATATATTCTTATTAAAATATATCTTGTTTATATATTCTTATGAGTAGTTATGTAGAATCCTCTGAGGGCATTATATTTGTCATTTAACCCCCATATTTGTGTTATTATAACTACAGAACAATAAATCACTTAAGGATCTATCTATAATGTTATGTACAATATTGTCGTCAATTTATTTTTGAAAACAGTCACGTCAAATCAAAGAGGATACTTAAATGAAATTACTTACATATCTATATGTATTGTACACAATTTTTTCTTCCGTATTCATACTATATTGAATGTTTCTGAAAGTAGAAAAATGTTGAAAATAAATACTGAAGGATGAATAAAAATTTTCGACTGACAATGATGTGAAAAGTACAATTGGGTATATTATAACCTACGTCACAGGTGTTGTGTTATTCCTACTAAATTTAACCCATGAACGGCATTTTCTGCGAGCCTAACTTCAAGCCACAAATAAACAAACGAAGTGTTTGATCGCTTAAATAGCTGCTCGCCAGATTTTATTGCATTATAAAGAAAAGTAATTGATATTCGATTTTTGATTAATAATTGATTTATGTATATAGTGGCATTTATGTGGATAGTGGCATAGAATTTAGCATTGCGTCATGGTAAATGTTATTCCTACTAAGTGGAAGTAGTTGTGTTTTTTTATATTATACCCAATTACATAAAAAAAAAAATTCAGAATTTTAAAATTTTAAAAAGTTATTCAAACTGCTCCTACAAAAGGTTACTTTTGTTAACAGTTGCGGTCAAGAACAATTATAGTAATAATATTTTATATATAATATATTTATTTATATATATATATATATATATATATATTACAGAGCTTATCCACAGTTCCCTGATATTACTGAGATGGCCTAGGCTGTAAATAGCACATGCGCGGCGGCGCAGAAGAAGAGACAAGCAAGCTACTGCTCAGCCTTNTCTGTTTTTATATATATATATATATATATATACGCAGGTTAACTTCCGATATCTATGCCGCACATCGTTTGATAGGACATATTATTTCGTGCATATTATATTATTATTATTATTTCGGTATTTTCTGTTCTGGATGCAGTCTTCTTAGCTCAATTTTGCATTCAGTTTATAAACTCTCACATGATTCTGTTAATTGGTTATATGTAGTCAGTCGTGACTCCGCTAACAACCTTTATAACCCTGAATGGTAGTTGTGCAATCACTATTTAGTATTTTTAAGGCTATCATATGTATTCTTTTCATTCGGGCATCACATATACTACATTTTTTTATCTCATATACTACATTTTTCTACTACAATTTTAATATTCCAAGGTATTTGGCAGTTTGTTAGTAACTATATTTCCAAATCAGAAGCGTAGTCAACTATTTTATTTATTTCAAATTCGATCCTTAGCAAGACGTCAAATTCACAGTAAAACCACTTTTTTTTGAAGATTTGATATAATTTGCTTATCTATAATTTTTATCTTTTAAACAATTCGGAATTTTTAATCAACTCTTTCAGTTTGAGATGGAAACAGGAACAAAAAAGAAATAAAGCAGGTCTCCAGTTTGTGAGAGAACGGAATGACCAAAATTTGTATGAGACTTGTAGAATAAAATTTTGGTTCGATTTTTGGAATCCACTAAAGGTTAAGCTAAAAATTAGTAGAGGAAATAGATAAGTCTAAAGCAATTATCAGTTCTGAACATAAGTGCATATTTTGGAAATTAAAGAGATCAGAACAGAATTCTGTACTGTACTTACTCGCAAGGCTGATTATACTTTCTTAACAAATCTGTGCAGTTTTCTCCAATCCTAGTTTGATCTATTGAAACATAAATGTTTGTCAAAATAATTTACTCAACTTTTAAGATTGTTTTCATTGGAATCATTAAAAAAAGATATTATGGAAAAAAAGATGTTATGAATTATATCTATCAATAACTGAAAACTGTTATGTAGAAATTTAATATCAGATAAGACAAATTTCTTATGGCATTTATACAAATACTTTCCTGAAGCTAAAATTTTTTAATCGATATTTAAGTCTATTTTTTTGTGAAATGATTAAGTTTAAAAGCTTTATGTATAACAGACGGTTGCGTTATTGTTGCGACAAAGGGGAGTTAGGGTACATCATCAGGATTGAAATAGCATAGGAATGCTATCGTTCGCGGCTAGGGGTGCTTCTATATTATGACCTGTTCGGGAGCTAGAAATGGTTTATAAGACCCGAATGAATTTCCGGTCATGGGTTTCTGTGCAATGTAATATTTACGTGACTCCCTTGTTGTGTATAACGTTTTTAACTTGTACATTTCGACAAAAAAAGACTGTAAATTCCATTTAAAAAAGAATTTTAGCTTAAAGAGAGAAACCGACAGCAGATTTGAAATCAGTATCTAAGATCTGAACATCAGAGAAAAAAAATGTTCCCCAGTGTAATTAGTGTCATATCTAATAAAGACACAACAAAAAGCGTAACATAAATGTGTTGTTTCGATAAAGAATCTTGCGTAAAGAGAATCAATAAAACAAAAATGATAATAATATTTACTGCTTTTATAGCATTTTATAAACAAATAAAGGAAATTGCTTCAAAAACTAGATGGTAGCATGAACTACAAAGATAGTATCAGCGGATGATTGATTTTACATGCCGTGCACAGTGGCGTACGCAGAATTTTTTCAAGGGGGGTGTTCATAATTTTCTGAAACTACTAAAAGAAATTCAAGTCTGTAATAAAGCACTATTATTTCCCTAATTTAGACAGCTAGACAATTTCGACTTTTTATTTAGACAACATTGTTTAGTTAAAGTTTGATTTGATTTTTAAGTTTAAGAACGTAATGTAATATCTTCTAAAAAAAGTCCAATGTCATATGGGTGGGAAGTAACACTTTGAGGGTCACTTTCACATTCATCAGATTTTGTTATGCTAGAAACGTTTTCTTCAACGGAAGTATCACATTTCTGTACAACAGAAAAACTTACATTGGTACTAGATGCTGTCACCTCACTAATTTCAGGTCGCGGTTTATTATCAAAATAACTAAAATTTGTTAAATTCTTGCGTTTTGACATCCTAAAGATTCAAGAACAGCAAATATATTTATATATATATGGATTGGTACAGAAATATCCGCTATGCTACGATCTCAAAGTTTCGAGCCGGAATGAATAACTTCAACGAGCACTTTATCTCCAATGGTATTGTTACTGATTTCTTCACTAGTCGAAATAGTGGCGACGACGGGTTCGGCGATTGAATGAACTTTTTGTTGAGACAAAACAAAACAGATTTAGCGACAAGCTCCGTAAGACAAGCGGCAGAGATAACTCTTAGTCTGACTAACTAACTCCACTGTACTCCGTTCCCCCTTTTATAT